ACCCTAAACCCCTAAAGCCCTCAAACGCTAAACCCTGAACCCTAAACCCTGAACCCTAAACCCTGCACCCAGCAGAAGGCCCAGACCCTGAACCATCGCAATGTAGAGGGCCTTCTTCTTCTGCGCTGGGCAAAAGGTCTCAAAGACGTGTCCATTGCTAATTGAATTCAAGAGTGAAACAACAGGGAAAAGAGCCCGCGGGCATTGCCTGCCGCAGCAGCCATTCTGCAACGGGGCCAAGAGCCTGAGACGGACAGGGCACCCGAAGCAACACCGGAACTCCAACCTGGGCCAGCGGCAGCAGAAACTCGAGGAGGGACAGGAAATCCACGAACCAGCCGCGATTGGCACGCAAGTGTCGAAGCCGACCAGGGGCAGGATCGGTGACACTTAGGAAGGAGAATGGAGGGCTCGGAGGGCAGCAGCAAAGAGCCGCAACGGGGAAAGAAAGAGCCGATCGCTGCAAAGGCCAGGCCAGCGGAGCAGACGGCAAAGATTCCACCCCCCATTGTGCCGCCCAGGCAGGGCAAAGTCGACCGATCCATCTAACAGGGGCTACACGGATGGGCAGAGCCCTCGGCACAGGATGTATCAACGGCACAAAAGAGCCGACAGAGGGCTCGGACTCCACGTGACCAGAGACATGCGAGCAAAGGTGCTCTGCATGCAGCACAAGCAGCACGTCCTCCCCTGAAGCACGGAGAGCCTCAGAGAGGACATTAGCAGTCCAGTGCCTCAGGGTACGCCGAAGAACAGGCAGTGGCTCGATGTGCTTACGCACTACATCAAAGATGGCCTGATCATCACCGGAAACCAGCGCCTGAAGGTCTCGCAGCAGTGCAGGGCACATCACTGGGGTAGGAGCCGGCAGTAGGGTACGAGAGACCCCGGCAGTAGCCGGGCATTGCACCTGGCCAATAGAAAGCTCGACAGGGAAGACCCCAGAATCCGACTGAGCCATCATCAGGCATGACGGGGAGATTTTAAGATGCTTCCGGAGCCGAGCCTGATCAGCCACAACCAAACCGCATGCAACACATCTGCGACCAACAGCAAGTTTGTGGGCAGGGCTGAGGTAGCCATGAGCCCGATGTGCATGAGCACCCCAGGCTTGTTGCGTGCGAAAAGCAGCTGCACAGATCAAACAAGCATGTTCGCAGGAGCTGAGCAACGCAGCAGAAGCAGAAGGGGTGCAAGGAGACCAGATCTTACGACCGAAAGAGTCGCAACAAGCAACAAAGGAGTTCACCTCACAGTGCCAAGCCTCAGCACGCTTGAGGAGCCCCTTCCAGTGGCCTGGTCTATCACAGATAACCTGCCGCCAAGATTCCCACCCCCCATCAGGATCCCGCAAGGTGGAGGTGGTTTGAACCGCCTGCAAGAGCCAGTGACAGGATGAACGTACAGCTTTCTGGAAGGTGGTATACCACCGAAGCACCGCCCAGGCAGCGTCAGAGCCGTGTCGCGTCAACTGACCCAGGAATCGCAGCCTAGCAGAAGCCAAGAGGGAGGCTGGGGAAGGGAGGCCACATCTGGCAAGGATTTGCGCAGTAGTAACCTCAAAGCCGCCGTTGGAACGCAGACGAAGGAGCTGGCGGTAAAGCCCAATAATCCCTCCTGAGAAGAGTTGCCAGTCAGATACGCTCAGCCACGGCCAAGTGCCAGCACCAGCAAGGACCACAGAGAGAACGTAAGTCCTGAACAAGGAAGCCCGACGTTCAAGCGCAACCTGGCGGCAGGAAAAGAGACGCTGCCGACCCTCCTTGAAGGCAGCGCGTCCCAGCGCAAGCCGGAGCTTGATTTCTGCTGTTAATCCGCCATTATAAGACAGAGTCGATCCAAGATGACGGTAGTGTGTAACCAAGTCAAGTCGAATCATGCCAGAGTGCTCCAGGAAGACAGGCAATTTGGCCCGTAGAGTACCAAAAAGAGTGCTCCTGGCAGCGCGGGAGCCTGGACCATGGAGCGCAACGATGGCCGCAGTCTTTTTTGGGCCGTAATTTGGTCGCAACCCGTGCGGGCCAAGGACTTCGAGAGTGGCCGAGGCGACTCCACTCAAAGCCGATCGCATGGAGGAAGCAGAACGGCAAAGCACAAAGGTGGCCAAGTCGTCTGCGTACACGACATCTCCGAGTGGCTGGGGTGTCCCGAGACCCTGGTCATTGAGGCCAAGCGGAGCCCGCAAGCCGTCCCATGGAAACACCGGCACGGTATTGCGGAAGGCAGCTGGGTCGCGGCGCTTCAACACCTTCGCAAACAAGATATTGAACAGTACATCCGCAAGTGCACCACCTGGTCGTGTGCCTCTGTGAGTGTGGACCAAGTTGTCGTCCTGTGCAAGCAGGAACCATGTGGAAGAATGCATTTCACGCGCCAGCTCCTCCAGGAGGGGAACCGCATCCTGGGTCTGTAAAATGGGCTCGGCAGCAACGTGGTGCCGCAACAGCTGCAGGTCTTCAGTCGTCAGACCGAGAGACTCAGCAATAGATTCCACAGAGCGCCCCGACAACCCTGAACCCAGCACCGTCTCACGAACAACCCCATAGTAGGCGCTCGCGAGATCAAGGAACATGATGGCCCCAGAATGACCCTGCACTTGTGCAAAGTGCATGAAACCCCGGGACAAAAAATGACCCATTTCGGCACTACAACCCTTCCGACCACCTATCTGGCTAGGAAGCGCGTTTGGGACCCAATGGTCGACAACCAGGTGGCGAGCGGTGCGATGAACCGCCTTGGCAATGCCACTTTGCACAAGGATGCCTCTGTATCCGGAACACGTATGATCGGCCTGGATGTTGTGCTTGGGGATACAGTGCAAAGTGCCACCTTTAAGGCCAGCTGGTTCAGCGGCCTGGAAGATGACCTTGAGCATGAGGGGCCACAGCAAGTCCGCAAGCTCAGGGCTGAATCCCCGAAGCAAAGTAGGCGGGATGAGATCCGGCCCGGCGGC